TGGAGCGAATGGCCAGGGAGGGTTAATATTACTAGGCGCTTGGTAGCTTGGGTTTAGTAGAAAAGTAGTTAGAAGCAAGTGAACTGGACTCAAGTTGAGGTCCTGTTTGAATTACTAGGTAATCTTGCCTCTCTAGGCTTGCTACTCCGGCCTTTCTTTCGCGTCTCTTTCTCGCTGGACCACTCGCGTCACCGTTCGGCCCTCATATTAACACCTCAATTGTTGCCTTCTTTTCTGCCACTCGCCCACCCTTTCCCCCCTCCCCCTTCGTCGTCGTTCCCCCAACCTCAAATGGAGAACCACAACAACAAGAACTCTGCATGATCATCACATTCTCTCTGTCGTGCATCTGCCGTCAATTCCCAAGAGAAAAAACAATTCGACCCTTTTGGTCCATGTCATCCACTGGCCGTCCCTCCGGTTCAGTCCTTTTTTAACCCCTCAATAAAAAAAAATAAAAACCCACCTGCATCATTTTATCCTTTGGAAGCATAATTATTATTTTTATAATTTATATTATTTTATTTCGGATCTGCACCATCGCCTTTTTCACCAAACCCGCTTCGTCGTCGACCGCCTCTTCAGTCCCCACGGCCCGGACCCAACTTCTCCTCTTCGTCTTGGAGCTGGTAAAGGCTAAAGCTGTCACCGCGTCAGGGGCTTGTCGAGTTATTCCCTTTCCTACTCCGTACTAACTAATTACTCTTTTCCTCCTCCCTCCCACCACCACCACCACCACCACCACCACAACAACCCCCCTCCCCTCTCTGTCCAAGGCGGCCTCCGATCATCCTTTCGTTTAGTCTGTGTCCACCCATCCGGATCCGCTCCTATCACTACAGTGATCACGTCCAATCCTCTGGGTCTTCCATCTGGTTTCCAGATCTTCCCTCTCCTCCACCTTCGCTTCTTTCCTGAGAACTACATGACTACCCCTTTCCCCTCTTCTCTGGGTCCCAATCTCGTCCCGAATCTCTTCTGCACCTAATCCTTATCGCATCCTGCACCTTCACCCATACCTACCCATGGGAAAGTACCACAACACTCCCAGTGGATATCACATTGCCTGACTGCGAATGATGCGCACCTGATCCTATCCATCGACATTCCCGACACTCGAACTGGAAGAGCCGTGTACTTCCTCTACACATTCCTTATCTCTTAATTCAGGCCCCTCAACGCCGCACAAAGTTCTCTTGGATTTTCTGCTGGCAGAGAAGAGAAGGGAGAAAGAGTCATAATGACTGTCTGCTACGACCACCACTCCTTATCACGGGGCGCTGCGCCCACTTCAGTCGCCAGCCTCGAAGACAGGTTCGAGGTCCTCAAGGAAGTGGGTGATGGCAGCTTTGGTAGCGTGGCAGTCGCACGTGTGCGGACTGCTGGTTCCAATGTTGCACGGAGGGGGACGATGGTATGTTATCGCGAGCCCTAATGACGCTCTTCTTCGCTGGGGTTGCTAATTCCTGTTCCTAGGTTGCCATCAAGACGATGAAGAAGACCTTCGAGTCATTGGCTCCCTGCCTCGAACTCCGTGAAGTCATCTTTCTGCGATCCCTGCCCCCCCATCCCCACCTTGTCCCAGCCCTCGATATCTTCCTCGACCCGCTCTCACGCAAACTACACATCTGCATGGAGTATATGGATGGCAACCTTTACCAATTAATGAAAGCCCGGGATCACAAGCCCCTCGATGGCAAGCATGTCAAGAGCATCCTTTACCAAATCTTGGGGGGTCTCGACCATATCCATGCCCACCACTTCTTCCATCGCGACATCAAACCCGAAAACATCCTCGTCTCGACATCCGCCCCCAACGACTCTGCTTTCAGCCGTTACTCTAACCTCGTCACTCCTCCTTCTACTCCCCCGACATATACTGTGAAGATCGCCGACTTTGGTCTCGCCAGAGAGACTCACTCCAAGCTCCCCTACACGACATATGTCTCTACCAGATGGTATCGAGCGCCTGAAGTTCTCCTGCGTGCAGGAGAATACTCAGCACCGGTGGACATGTGGGCTATCGGCGCCATGGCGGTCGAGATTGCTACCCTGAAGCCACTGTTCCCTGGTGGAAACGAAGTCGACCAGGTCTGGCGTGTTTGTGAGATTATGGGAAGCCCTGGTAACTGGTACAGTAAGTCGGGGGCTAAGCTCGGAGGTGGTGAGTGGAGAGAGGGCTCGCGTCTTGCCCAGAAGCTGGGATTTACGTTCCCGAAGGTAAGATTACCCTGCGCTACCCGCGGTACGATGCGATTACTAATGAATCGTAGATGGCGCCCCATTCCATGGAAAGCATCCTTCAGGCGCCCCAGTGGCCCGCCGCTCTTAGCCAGTTCGTCACGTGGTGTTTGATGTGGGATCCTAAGAATAGACCGACTTCGACACAGGCCCTCAACCACGAGTACTTTGCTGATGCCATTGACCCATTGAGACCCAAGTCTTCCACAGCTCGCCTTCTGGGCCGGAAGCAATCGGACAAGAGCTTCAAGTCCGCCAATCGTGATGCGAGCGAATCTTCGACCTTGTCATACAAGTCGTCGTGGTTCCGGAGGTCCTTGATCGGCAGATCGGAAAGCCCGGTGCCACCTGTGGAGAGTGAGAACTCCTCCAAGCAATCGGTGGCTTATTCGGACCTTCAGGCTGGGAAGAGCAAGCCGGCGGCCAGTAAGCGTGCCACTTGGGCTAATGGGGCTCCAATGCCTATTCTGCCCTCGATTAGGCCAGTCTCTCCTCTCTCTAATGCGGTCACAGCGCAAGCCAATTCGTCTCTCGCCCATTCAGGCGACAGTGCCAACGCCAGCAAGGCGAGCAAGAAGATTGGCAGACAGCTTTCTGTCAACTCGCACGGTAATCACTACGCTGATATCCACCGCCAAGAAGCAGAGAGAGCGCTCAATGGCGGGGGCACCGTGTATTCCGCAGTGACCCCCAAGGAGAGCTTCTTCTCGCACCTCCGCAAGCGCGCTCGCAGACTATCCGGTCGCAACCAGGCCAACTCTGGTCCCGACGATGTTGAGGCTAACGCTGGCTGCATGCCTTGGTCGAACCGGTCTTCTCTGGCTTTGGACTCTGTCAACAACGTTGGAGAGTCCAAGCAGGGTTCCGATCTCTCGGAGCTGGACAAGGCGCTCCAGACTGTGAAACATTCGCTTGACTCGGCCGCCCTTGGCAATGTTCCCGTGCAAATCACCTCCCCTATCGAGAGCACCAAGCGCCAATCTATGCCGCAGGGCTCGATTCGCTCGATGGGAGAAAGCCCTGTCTCGACCAGCGGCACTGGCGGGCCAATCTCCAGCCGGACTAGGCGCGCAATGCAGATGTCGAACAACCCTATCCACCGTTATGAGACTCCTGAAGAGGAGGACGAGCTGCTGGATGAGGTCTTGCATTCGGCGAGCAGGGCTGCTAGGCGTTTGGCACAGACTGAAGTGTCATCGGAAGTTTCGTCGAACTACAGTCGCCCAGCCGTGGGTAACGACGGCTCTCGCCCCCTGCCCAGTCCTTATCCTACTCCCTCCCCATCCGCCAAGTGCGATGGCGTCTGCTTCGGTCACTCAGACGCAACGCCATGCAGACGCCTGCCCCTCGCGGAGGAGAAGACGGACGCAAACACCAGTCGCCAATGGCCAACCCCTCCATATGAAGATGGTGACTGGGCGAAGCCAGCTCCGGCAAAGTTCCTGACGGGCTCAGCAACTTGTCGTTAGCTTCTCCATGTTGGAGAAGGCACAACTCTTTTCATTTCTTCATCATCTTTCACAGATCTTGTTCATATTTAATCAAAAGAACAAAAACGTGGTGGTTACGCGCGGAATCGGCGAATTAACCGAGCAAGGCGTATGGGATCTGGTGTCTACTGTTTCTTTTATCCACGGAGGTTGGCCGCTTTTTTATCTTTTCTCATTTTTTCACATTTCATTGTGTCTTTGTTCTTATGTATCCTGCGCTTTGATTTGTACCCATGTTTGTATAGGCCATGGTTCAGCCCGGGTTTCTTTCATTTGTCTGGTTCTGTTGTCATACCCCAAAGGCCCTTCTATAGATACCGTCGGCCTCGCACCTTGTTTTCGGTATACCACTTGCATATATGTCTTTCGTTCCTTGATATCCTAACATCCCCTGCACATTGCTCATCTGTTTGCACTGATACCAATCGCGCGAGTCGCAATGTCTGCTATCATTCTTTCGATATATACTCTTAACACCTGCATACTCAGCTCACCGCATATGCCCTGACCCCCGCAGTCGACCATTTCCTTTTGTCAAACTCCCTTCACCCCTCTGTATATTTCCCGGGCATTGATCCTCCCTCATCATTCTTTTCTCTTTACCCCCCTCATTCCTTTCTGTCTCAATGCGCGGATGGGAAGCGATGTGAAAGCTTCCTCCACAAGAACAAAAGAACTTCCATTCATCTATTGTACAATTTTACCACTTTTTGGGAAGGAGCACTGGTGGCTGGTTCTGGGCTTGAACAATTTTGTAATATAGGACTTACCCGACGGGAGAGCCGTCTGTTTATATCTACTGTTAATGGAACAGACACTGTCTGTCGACATACCTCTTGATTACAATTCCAATTCATCTTGTAGAATTATTAAATAAGCTTGTAATGTCGTGATGCTCTCATGTGCTCCCCTGTTGTATGCATGCAACTTGGGTACCGGCAATAGTCACGGAACAACCATTCCCCGCCCACCGGCAGAATTTCCCAATGCAGCACTACGTCAAAAGTCCCCATTGAGACTGGATTTGTCGCGACGCTGTTTAGAAGTTCGATATTGGCGTGAGTGGCTTGATCCAGAGTGCCCTACAAGTGAAGGCACCACCATTGAAGCCTCATTCTACCTCCAACAAACCCCGCGCGGTACCATATACCGTCAGCCATCCCTCCGCGCAAGACTTGCAGCAATTCCCGCAAAATCGCAGGCTACCAATCGACCTGCCAATATAAACTCCACCCATCTTCACCTCAACATTCATAAAAATCATACAAAATGACCGCCCAACGCCAGGCCTCCTCCGCCTCCCAAACGCCCCTCATCTCCCCAGCAGAGCTTTCCTACCTCTACACATCACTATCACTCCCCGATGGCCCCATCCGCCCCGACGGCCGCTCGCCCACGCAATTCCGCCCGTTGACCGCAGAAACAGACATTCTGCCGGGCACCAACGGTAGCGCGCGCGTGGGGTTCGCTGACGGCACGCAAGCCATCGTGGGAGTGAAAGCGGAGGTGGAAAAGACCGTTGTTGCAGCCGAGGCGCTGAACCTATCGCAACAGCAAACGCAAGAAGATTATGCCGATAATGAAGGTGGAGAGGGCCAGAAAACCTCCAGTCATGGTCATGGATCGTGGGTGCAGATGTCTATTGAGATCCCCGGGTTTCGGGATGATGATGCCCTCCCGGTTTTCTTGTCGGAGATGATGCGCGAGCCGCTTGTTGAGTCGGTTGCTGGTTCTGGTGATGGGGTGGGTGGGGATGAGATGGCGGGTGGGTTGAAGGGGAGGTTGGTTATTAATAAGAGGTGGCATTGGAGGTTGTATATTGATGTGAGTGATCTTTCTAAGGGAGGGGGGGTAGGAGGGGTGAATGGTGCTAATGATGTTTGTGCAGGTGCTGCTGCTGTCTCAACCTTTGTCGTATCCGTTGCCGTTGCTGTCTTTGACGACTCATTTGGCTCTTTTGTCGACTAAGTTGCCTAAGCTCAAGTCTAAGGGAGAGGAAGACCCCTTCTTCGATGATGATTGGAATGCCGCTGAATATCTATACCCTCGCTCGCAGTCGGGGCCTCGTCTTTCTTCTACGAAGCAGGTCCGGCCTCCTGTTACGCTGCTTGTCATTTCTGTGGGCGATAATGTCATCTTTGATCCTAACAGGGAGGAGATTGCGGTTGCGGATACGGTCCTAGCTGTTTCTGTCACCCAGGACAGTGACTCGGATGGCCTGAAACTGCTCTCTATTCGCACAGTCGACCCCCCGTCTCGTCTTACGCAGCCGGGTGTATCGAACTCGGAGAACGTGGCGACTCTGGGCTCCACGGCCGCTGCGGAAGAGGCCGCCATGACGGACCCGTCTACTGGCGAAGAGGTTGCCGGCGTTTGGAGACCCCGACGGGGTGGTGTCAAGCGGCGCACGATTGCAAAGATGCTCAAGCTGGTCTTGCAGAAGGGAGGTGTTGGTGAAGAGGTCCTTGAGGGTCTTGAGGGAGTTCAGGTGGGCTGATCGATTGGTCGATATGTGACTGAAAATATTGCCTAAGTTGTGGATAGAACCATGGAGGGCATGATACCCGCGCACCACCGCAAGAATGGACCATATGGGATAGCAGTCCCGTCGCTATCTCCGATACCGATTACAGAACAAGCGGTGATCCTCTGGAGGGAGCTTAGACAGGTATACTAGACACAATAAATACCGATCTACTACCTCGTGCTGTGAGGGAGTAGGGTTCAAGGACAGAAGCATGTCCACCATGCCAATGATACTCCATTCTATCCAAGCTACATTCCACTTTCCAAATCTTGGATTTCGTAACTAGTCCTCCAAACTTCATCATGAACCTAGCTTTGTACATGTCACCTCCAAGCCATACATCCTATGCACCTTAGCCTTCACCCACTATACACATCTATACCCAAACCCAGACAAGACAAGACAAGATTACCGCCAGCGGCATCAACTCAACCCCCACGCGCACGCCCACCACCCCATCCCAACCCTACAATACAACCAACCAACCCCCACAAGAGAAAAAAGATTTCACATCATAGTCTCCCCCTCCATCATCCTCTTCATAGGATTCCTCGGCTGCCTCTCCTGCCTCCTCCTCTCCTCCTCACTAGGCTCAATATCCGTCTTCACCCCCTCCAACGCCCTCCCCACCACCTCCTCCCTCTTCTCCCTCTCATGACCCTCAACCGCCACCTCCAAAATCTCCCTCTCCAAGCCAGGCACAACCTCCCACTCGACACCCGCCTCCTCCAACCTCCTCACCCCCTCCGACTGTCCCACAAACGTGCCCGGCTCCTTCACCCCAAAATACACCTTCTGTATTCCCCGTCCCTCCCCACCCTGTCTCGTCTTGATGATCCGCTCCACGCACGGCGCATTGCCCGAGAGTCTCTTCCCGCAGGGCTCCATAGTCACATACATGACTAGTTTCCTTTCGGGGTCGTCGTGAGGGAGGACAGTGTGCACTTCCTCGTCAGGTACGCCGTGCACGGCGGCGTAGTTGGATAGACAGCATTGTTCGGCGTGCGTGTTGCCGGCGAGTTCCATTGTGTAGCCGGTTGAGAGCAGGATGTCGGAGGTGTAGCTGGGGGTTGTGTCGGCTTTGCTTCGGCTGAGGAGGAGAGCGCCGACGCGGAAGTTGGTTGGGAGGGCGGGGGCTTTGCGCGCGAGAGCGAGGCATTGGGTCATGTAGGTGAGGTGGGGGGTGCTGGGGGTTCCCTTTTCTGTGGTTGTTGTGGTGGTCATTTTTGGTGGTGGTTGTGTTTGGTTTGGATTGTTGTAGAATGTGTATGTGTATGTGTTGTGTGTAGAGAAGGGGAAGAAGAGTTATTTATGTGATAGTTAGCTAGTATGAGTGGGGGGTGGTTAAGAGTATGACCGCATAGAATACTATCTGATAGTTTAGTTAGGTTATCGATTGATGCCGGCTGGTCGCGGCTAAACTGCTTTAGGAAAGATAGGTGGGATTCGCGTCCCGCGCGTTTTGGGGTGTTTGTCTCGTTTGATTTTATTGCGTTCCGCGCGAACATTCACGGCCGAGGTGTTATGTCTTCTACCTCAGCTACTTTGCATCACTTCTTGTTGTGTTTTTTTTTTTCCTTTCAATAGACGCATATCCCCTTTTCTTTTTCCTACCACTTACCTGGACCTTTTTGGTCTCTTGGTCAGATGCCTATCACAAACCCCCTCCACCGCTACAAATGGAAAGTTGGGGAGGATCCAGAGGGGCCTTTTTCAGAGGAAGAGAAGGAAAAGCGGGAACCGGTCGAACGCGATGAAAACGGTGAAATAATCATACCTCGGCGCAGGGTCCTTGATTTGTATGAGGTTCTCGGTCTCGATGACCAGGCGACTCAAGACCAGATCAGGGCTGCTTATAAGAAGAAGGCGCTGAAGCATCATCCTGGTACGTATATACTTTACTATATCTATCATCTAGCTATCACTTGTGTGGGATGGGCTGTCTAACCACTAGTAACAGACAAGGCACCCCCGAGCAAGAAAGAAGAAGCAAACAGTAAATTCCAAAAAATCGCCTTCGCGTACGCCGTCCTTTCTGATGAACGTCGCCGCGCGAGATTCGATAAGACCGGTAGTACGGAGGACGCCTTGGACGAAGATGAGGATTTCGACTGGACGGAGTTCTACCGGGAGCAATTCGCCACCGCCGTTGATGTCGATGCGATCGACAAGCTCAAGAAGGAATATCAGGGGTCTGAGGAAGAGGTCAAGGATATACTGCAGGCCTATGAAGTCCACCGGGGCGATCTGGATAAAATCTACGACTCTGTGATGCTGTGTAATGTCATTGATGATGATGAGCGATTCCGCGCCATCATTGACTTGGCTATTGCGGAGGGAAGGGCCGGGAAGTACAAGAAATACACGGAGGAGCCGGTCAAGAAGCGTCAGGCCAGATTGAAGCGGGCACAGAAGGAAGCGAAGGAGGCGGAACAAGTGAGCAAGGAGATGGAGGAGAACAAGTCTAAGACGGGTAGAAAGAACAAGGGAGGGAGGAAGAAGGAGGATGGCCCCGAGGACGTGGGTGACTTGGCTGCAATGATTAAACAGCGGAACCTTGGCCGTCTTGACAACCTCATCAATCGGTTGGAGGAGAAGTATAACAAGGATAGTGAGCTTAATGAGCTGGGGCCGGGGCCGAGCAAGACCAAGAAGACGAGGAAGAAGCGGAAGTCGAGTCCTCCTGAATCGGCATTCGAAGAAATGGCTGCGCGTGGGGAGAAGAAGAGGCAGAAGAGGACCAAGGGGTGAGGTGTGTTATCTTTGGGTGGACTGTCTTTCATGCGTTATTTTTCTCTTTTCTTTATCACTACTAGTGCTGTCTTTGGGGTTGGGGAGTTCAGGTCATGTAGGGACACATCCATTCGCGGCATGGTACATTGAGTGATTTGGCAATCAGGCATGGGAGTGCATTGCTTTTGTTTTTGCTTTTTGCTTTAACCTATTTCAAGCTGGGTTCAATTTTTGAATCCTGTGTTTTAGTACCATTGAGTGTTCAGTAATAAAACAGTCATATACCTTGTTGACCGCTAGTAATTGGGAAGGAGGTACTGAAGGGGGCAAAGGAGAGAACGTGACCATGACAGCTTCGGCCGTGATTGAAGGAACAAACACCTCACCTCCAGCATAATTAAGCAGCCGGTCTACTGCATCCTGCGTACACAGGTCCACCTCGATTGGTGAAGAATCGATGGGTTCGCATTCCAGCTGCATCCAGGCAGGAGTGAAAGTGTGAGACTAACAGCACACACACTCTCTCTCCCAGCCAACCGATCCTCCCCAGGATGATCGCCGGCATCAAGCCCTGGGGGAGGGTCAATGCAAGGGATGCTCATCACCGGTTGGTGGCACCTTGCACCACCTGGGTCACCATGATTGATTGTGCTTCGTTGCTTTATAAGGATCAGCCAGCTGCTCGCTGATTGTTCGTGATACCCCGCCATGCCGAGCTTTTGGACGCCTTGGCTTGTTCCAACTTGGTCGTCTCGCCTTCCTCCTTCTTCCTCTTCTTCTTCTTCATCCTCTCCCCACACAGCTGGGTGAAGCTACCTTATCCTTCTTCATCTCCCTTCACACTTGTTCACCATCCACGGAGGCATCCGAGCTACTCTGTCTCCTCTCCGTCGGCTTGCTGGCCAGACGCCAGCCTTCCTCTCTTCTCTTCGGTATTATCCGAGGTAGAAACGCAGTGAGTGAGGATCGCCGTTGAGTTGCAGCCGTTGCGCACGTGGAGTTCCGGTCTCCATCCAGCTCCATCATTGTCGCGTGCTCCTCAAGATCCTATCTGAACCTCAGCTGGGTTTATACTTATAACTATAAAGCATCCAACGTAAGAAAGCTCTCCTGCAACGGAACAGCAACCTTAAACAAGAGGAACCTGGTTCTAAAGGCGGGACAGGACCTGGGGACAAAGCTCGGAATCTCAGCTTATGACCATTTCCCCTCCTCTCCACATTCCAAAGCTGGGCACTGGCAGAGGCTGGGAAGCTAGCTAGGTTCGTCATTTGATTCACATTAATAATTTAGCCCACGGGTTAGTGTTTGGAACCCGCCCGCGCAAAGCCAAAGACAAGCGCGAGGTCGTACCCCACAGCCCACCATGCCGTACTATAGCAGAAAGCCCGCCCACATGTCGCTGGAGACCGCTCTGGAGGAAGAGCGACGGGAGTTGCTAGAGGAGATGGGCGAGAGTCCCTCGACGTCTCGGCGCCGGAGCTTGCTGGACATCTCACCGAGTCCCGGCTTCTTACCCCCGCGGCATGGCTCCATCGCCGGTATTGGCGTGGGCGTGACTCCCCCCTCTTCAGTCCGACATCATTCACTCTATTCTTCCTCTCATTCTCCACTGCCTTCATCTCCTCGTCGCTCTTCCGCTACCGCTACCACTACCACTACCGCGACAACCTTCAATCCATCGCCCGCCACTGCAACAACCGCTCCCCCAACTCCTCGCGCCACTACATCCTCTGTCGCTCCCCCTTTGCCTTCTGCGCAGAGGAAAGGGTCCGTCCAATCCGACGGATCAGTCTCCCCCACCCGATCCACCGACTTGGCGTCAGGCGACAAAGAAAAGCTGGGAGACAACAACAACGGTGCCAGCAACCAGCAGCATTTAAATAAGCCGGAACATAAGTCTGGTCCCAGCATCCGCTGGGATTTGTCGACCAATATGCCGCCCAGCGTCGCCAACCGCAATGCGGCCAGACGTAATGCTGCTCAACAACCTCAGGAGAAACCATCCAATCGGCTGCCGAGCATGGCCGCGGTGATGTCAGGGCTGGATCTCAAAGTCGGGTTCCCAAGTTTCGTCAGAGGCAGGGACTCTAGCAGTAGCCGCAGCAATGCTACGCGCGGAACTTCTCTCGACTCTCGAGTCTCCTCTCTCAGACCGGCTCGCTCTAGCTCTCCTAAGCGCCGCTGGCTAAACCCCAATACGCGTGGACCGGTCGCCGATCCGGTGAAACCACCTGTGGTAGCCAGTAAAAAGGAGACCAGCCCAATGGTGCCTGCGACTAAGGAACCTACTAATCCGGATTCCCGCCCAGGGTCTCCCGAGCCTGAAGCCAAATCGTCGGCCCCGGGCGAGGAGCGATTGGAGAAGGATCGTTTTGACAGCGAAAACAATCCAATTGAGACCAGTGACGAGGATGCCGACGAATCCACCTCTAGCGACGAAGACGCTGTTCATGAGGACGATTCAGACGTCAAGCGTGGCCGGAAAAAGGCCGTCGAGCAGGAAATTCCCACTAATCCTGGACCAAAGCCGCTCACTACTACTAAGACTGCGCCTGAATTTCGTCCAAATCCCGATGCGGCGGATAAGCCGGAATTGATACACTCAGCGAAACAAGGACCTGTGTTGAAGAAGCCTGATGTTCATCCACGGACCAGCTTCGACTCGGCCTCGGCCACCAATACTCCGTTTGGATCCGAAGATGAGGCAGAGCTGTCCGATATCAAGCGAGCCCAGAAATTGGGTATCCAGATGTCTTCTATCGACAACACAGTCCAACATCGGTCCATCCGGACGATCATTCGCGGAGATTACGCCGAGGCACAGGAAGAGACCGAGAGCAGCCGCCGACGGCAACGCAAATACCTTGTCGCTACTGACCTCAGCGAGGAGTCTGTGTATGCGCTGGAGTGGACTATAGGAACTATTCTCCGGGATGGTGACACCATGTTCGCTGTCTGCGCTATGCACGATGAGACTGCCACGCCTGCTTCAGTGCAGATCGGCGATGGCGCCAAAGCTATCCAAGATGCGGCGGCCGTCGTTGGGTCACAGACCGCAGAGACTGCCGAAAAGGCGCAGAACGATTCAAACTCTCATCTTCCTCGCGCATTGTTCGGTCGTCTGGGTACGGACAGCAAGCCGAGCTCTGTGGATGCTCGCGGCATGTCCAAGGCTGAGTCGGAACGTGTCCATGCAGTCGAGGTTATCTCCCAGACCTGTGTTCGGCTGCTGCGCAAGACGTTGCTCCAGGTCCGCGTAGCCGTCGAGGCAATCCACTGCAAGAGCCCAAAACATATGATCACTGAAGCTGTACGTGTCCTCCTCACTCTTCGTTCTTACATTACTAACTGATTTAGATCGATGGACTTGACCCCACCCTGGTCATCGTCGGAGCCAGAGGCCGCAGCGCACTCAAGGGGTAAGCTTCCACCCGTCTCTATTTTGACACAGACAGACACTGACTGACATGACCTCTCTCACAGCGTCCTCCTCGGCTCCTTCTCCAACTATCTGGTCATGCACTCATCCGTTCCGGTAATGGTTGCGCGCAAGAAGCTCAAGAAGCAGACCAAAAACAAGAAGACCAATGTCCGCTTGTCCAACAACCTAACTACACCAAAGAAACTGGCTCTCGCCAAGGTGGACTAGAATGCTAGCCTTCTCGCCCTTTCTCTTTCTCTTTTCCCTTTCCTATTGTTAGCTTTTCTACGATACCTTAACAGATCTGGTCATATCATGGCGGTCGGCGCATATCTTACGGTCGAAATGTGATTGTCTCAGTGTGATGGTGGTGGTCTTCCTTATTCGCTTCTTAACATGTATGATTACGATTTGATTTATTATTTCTCATGACGGCCGGATTGTGATGACATTAGCTTAAAATTATTAATGAGGATGGGTCTATTATTATTATGGGAATTGCTTTCTACCTTTATACCCTTTGTGAATGGTTCTCGTCATTATCGTCTGCGGATATACCGTGTAGGTAATGAACACCGACACAGTAATCTAAGTAGAAGTAATTTTCAAATCAATTGCGTTCTATACCCTTGCCAGCAATTACAACAGCGTAGTAAATAGTAAGTACCATCAAAGTAGTAGTAAAGCGGGAACCAAGAATACCATGCGCATAAGAATAATTCAAAAGGTCCAATTCTAGCTAATTCGCTGCTGCTCACACATGCAATTGTATATCAGACACGCAATAAGAGAAAAAAAAAAAAAAATCCATAACTATTTAAGAAGTTGTAGTAGTAGTTTTAGCAATGCAATTTAATGTCTATTGCTCAGCCGGCTTAGTAGGCTCCCCGTTAGGAGTCTGCTCCTTAGCAGCACCAGGGTGACGAGAGCCCTTGTCCTTCTGCTTCTTCTCCTTCTTCTGCTTCGGGGCCGGAGGCGGGTAAGCCTTCAGCGTGACTTCCTGCCAGTCGGGGTTGGCGTCGAAGGCGGCGCGGATGGGGGCAGTAAGCTCGACGATGGCGTCGGCGACGGCGGGCTTGAGGATTTGGGGGGAGAGCTGTGCGGAGTATATTAGTATGATGTGAAACATACAGCAGAAGGGGGTGGGGCGTACAATATCGTTCTTGTAGTCTTCGTGCATCTTCTCGATGTCGGTGTACACCAGAGGCTCCAGGCCATCGCGGTCGCGGGGGACGCGGAACTCGGGCTTGCCGGTCTTCAGGGCGGCCACGGGCAGCAGGACGTACTGGACGAAGGCGAGGATACCGTTGTTGTCGATCTCCTTGGGAGCGGCCTGCGCTTTGCGGATCTTCTTCTTGATGCTGTCGATGGATTCGAGGAGGTCGATCTTGCTGTCTGGTAGGTGTTAGTATTTAATAAGGGTATGGTTGTTGGGGAGAGGGGGGGGGGGTATGTGGAATGGTGGATAATACCTTCTTCACTGGAGCTCATCTTGCCACCGGAGAGACCGGGGACCATGGCGTTGCAAAGATGCGCGCGCTAATAGTATGTGTAAGTTTGAGTTTGGGATTTGGCAATGGTATGGCAATGCTCT